TTTTTTTTACATTTTAGGGGAAGCTGAGCTTCCTTTGCAGTCTTAGAGTCTGCCACCATGTTAAGGAGGTGTTTTAAAAAGTCCTATCATTCAGAATTTCAAAGATAAACTTTTCTATTTCATTGTTTTTTCCCCCACTTCTGTTGTAGCTGAAACTTGACGGCGCTGGTTGTAAATGGGAGGAAGTCTCTAGATTTCCTCAACGATGGACGATGACTCCCACGCTCTGCTCTCCAGAGAGAGCCTCATCTACACCATCACCGTTCCGCTGGCGACCTCCATCATCCTGGCCAACCTGGTCATCATCCTGGGCATCTCCTGCAACCGCCAGCTCCACAACACGCCCAACTACTTCTTCCTCAGCCTGCTGGTGGCCGACACATGTACGGGCGTGGCACTGCCCTTCATCCCATTGATGGCTCTGAATCGGGAGTTGAGTTTCAGCTCCTGTTTGCTGGTTCATGTGTTGCCCAATTTCCTTTTCTTGGCATTTTTGTCCAACCTGGTCATGGTCCACTATGAGCGCTACATATGCATCGTTGACCCTTTGCGTTATAATAACCTGTGGATGCATCGCAATTTTCCGTTGGCGCTGCTTATAGTTTGGTCACCCCCACTTCTGTATGCATCCCTGCCTGCTTTCGGGTGGAATAACTGGACAGGGCACGATTGGAACAGCTGTTGTAAAAGTATACCAAAGCTGCCGCCACTTTCGAACTGTTCGACAAACGGAACCACTTGCTGCTCCTACAGGCGAGTATTCCCCAATGATTTCATCTACTTGGAGGTGTACGGTCTGGTTTTACCGGCCATACTGGTGATCGCTGGCATGACTGGACGGGTTTTGTGCATCACCCGAGGACAGATGAAGGACATATGTCGGCTTCATCGCGCTATAGAGCGAGGGAGCCAGGCGTCGGAACAGGAGCACAGGCTGAACCTGCGGTACACTCGCTGCGTGGTGGCCGTGTCACTGACTTTTCTGGCCTGCTGGGTTCCGTACCTCATTTACATGCACGTCTGCATCGCGTTTTTAGTCAGCGACACCAAGTGGAGCTTCACCACTCACATCATTTTATCCTGCACTGGTATCGGAAGCATGTCTGTGGTGCCGCTGGTACTCGGCTTGGCCAACAAACAGTACACAGAACCTGCATACAAACTTCTCCAAAAACTCAGAGACCGGTGGAGGAGGACACAAGAACTGGAAGAGGCTGCACTTTGAAGAAATAACCACAAAGCCCATATTTATTAAAGGGATCCCCGATTAGTTGTAACATTAGAMTTTATTTGATAAACATATACACTCACCGGCCACTTTATTAGGTACACCACGCTAGTAACGGGTTGGACCCTCTTTTGCCTTCAGAACTGCCTCAATTCTTC